GGGGGGGGGGGGGGGGCTTGGGGCAGAGACCTAGAGCTTTCGCTTCTTACCTTTTTTATTTGGCAGAATTGATTTAAATATTTATGTTAGAATTATATAATTTCAACTCCACAATACATACACTAAAAATAATATACTATAAAATCACAAATGTTTTTTATTTAACTAAAGTGTGTGATCCCCACTCAAAATGGTCCTCGCCCTGACAGAACCTGAGAATCGCTGTGCTGAGCCGGGCGTTTTCGGAGTCTTTTCGGCCCCCGGCGCGGCGCGGCGCGCGGCGCGCGGCGCGGGCGAGGGCGGGCGAGGGCGGGCGAGGGCACCGCGGAGCGCCCCTCGCGTGCCGGATGCGGGCGGCGCGGACTTCGCCCCGCGGGCGGGCGGGCGGAGGAGCCGGCGCCAGGGCGGCCCGCACGGGTCATCGCGGCAGCCACCCCGCGCGTGACTCCGCCGTGGCCGCCGCCGCCGCAGCCCCGCCACGACGTGGCGCAACGCCGCAAGGCCGCCGACCCGTGGCGGGCGGGCTTCCTGCGGCCGCGCGCGGCCTCGCCGTGGATGCAACGACTTGGCCGACTACCAGCGGTAGAATATTCAGTCCTCATAGTAACACTGGAAGCAGGTGTAACGTGTCGATGACCGCCGGTTGAGGCATCAACGGATGTCACAGCAGTGTCTCTGACCATGAGGTCCTAAGGTCCGAGTCCCGCGGTGGCAGGATTTTCGACACTAGCAATACCAGGCGAATGCCGGAGCAGGACCCTAACAAATTGGTCACGGACGGCACGCACACTTTCCTTCCTCTTCATTGACCAATTTTCGCCCTTTACACATACGCGCTATATGCTACCGTCCACATACGTCGGAAGGCCGGTAGGGTGCTTAGAGCTTGCCCCGGTCTGGAGCACTGCCCCGCTTGGGAGAGATACCTGGATATGAAAACCCCGCAAGCCGACTTGTAGGTCGGCGCGGAATCTCACCGTCGAACGTGGGGGGTCACCGTCACCGGTAAAAACATGCAACCCACATTTACGGGACTAATGATAATAACCGATAACGCGCCCAGAAACACGAAATAATAAATCCCTAAAATCAAATCCAGCTTCATATATATTATACACACACACACACGCGCGCAAGGTGCCAAGGTTCAGAGCGAAAACTGAAATAGTGTTACATTTATTGTGTTTTAAATATATCCATTTACTTTCTTGTGTCATTGGAATAGTACTAAGGAGTCTCGTCCTAAATTGGTGGACTTTGTGATAGTGTAGGAGGAAGCACAGAAATGTGTTGATGGCCCCACATCCGAATCTCATAAAAAGTATCTATGCCAGCCCCAGATTCACACTCGTTAGGACTTATTGTGAACATTGCGGACAGTGTTATTTTAAACATCCTGTGCTACAGCGAAAATATTTTACTTAACGAAATAAGGCAGATTCATATCTTACAAATAAATGATTTGCTTGAAGTATAACGTCTCATTATATACGGCAGAAATAAATGAAAATTTTTATGTCCCATTTCAAGACAGGCACAATTAACCTACCACTGACAATAAATGTATTTGAAAAAAAGTAAAAGACAGGTACTTGATATTTTCGGTCTGCTTCTCAAAATTAGCAACGCAGTTGGTTGTCACGAGATTACTTTTGGTTAGTTCATGGAAAACTTCGAAACAGCAAGCACGATTCTTCCATCACAAATTGAAGTGGGAAGAACAAGGGGGCAGTAGTACAGGCCGTGACGCAGGACAAGACCAGATGGTCCTAAAGAATCGGGAATACGTAAACATAATTCTTGGAAAACTTCCTATGTTGATTGAGTGTCTTGGCTCAGTGTTTAAATCACAACAACGACAACAACAACAACAACAACAACAACAACAACAACAAATGTTTTGTGGTGAGGTGAGAAATGGAAGATTATTTGCGTATCATCTTGTTGAGGTTGGGAGGGGGTGTTAAAGATGGGTATTGTGAAATGACATGTGGGGAGATTTGAATCAAGGAGTCTAAAATTATTTTTGAGAAAACGAGATTTTATTAAGGAGTATTGGCTTGTTGGCCAAGGTTAAAAAAAGGAAACGCTGGGACAGGATGGAAGATGGAAATAAAATTTAGAGGATATTAAATGGTCAGGGATATAAGTCATTTGAAGTTCTCGATGAATTTGACTGTTAGGAATAAACCAGGATGCATTAAGAAGTCTGCGAAAGCATTTATTTTGAAATGAACAATCATTCAAGCCTGTCCGTAAGGGCGCTTCTCTGTTTTTAAATCCATCTATTATACTACACCCTTTTTCCTAGAAGCGGACATTTCATTTCTAGACTACCCTTTTGGCATGGATAATACCCTGATTTAAAATCCTTTTCTAGCCAATAAAGTCAAACATAGTTAGACTTTCTCAGTGATCGCAAAACATCGGTTTCCCGCTGGATTAACTTTCATCTCAATGCGCTGCACTGCTCCGAATACGTCCAATGCAGGGTTTAATCCTGTCCAATTTTGTGCGGAATGACCCTGGCCAATTTTCCGTTTTCTGGTGTTGAGCTGGGATAATATTGCATGAGAAAGGGGACCGTCGGTAATTTCGATAGATCATCTTTTGGACTTCGTTATGAAATGAATTGCTGAGCAGACCAACACTAAGCGTTCGGTTGTTAACGAGAAGAGTAGATTATCATCCGCATGTTACCATATCTTTATATGGGCAAAGTAAAGTGCGACCAGATAATGCCGCCTTTTCGCATTGTATCATTATCATTTCCACTTTTTCTGGAATAGCGACTTTGTATTAATGACAAAAGCTGAACAAAATACATAATAAATTTAGCTTTGGATTTTGATTATTTTCCGTCTTTTTCAGACTTTTTAGATTCCGATCTGGTTTTTAAGTAGGTAGTTCCTTTGAATTAGAAAATACGAGGAAAACATAAAATGCTATTAAATAATTTCATAAATGACAAACCACCAAACAATAGAATAATAACGAAATAT